TCTTTTATAATTTCGCCCGTTTCATCTTCTTGACTTTCTTTGTTATCCACAAATCCTGATTTGAGGGCATCAAAATCACTCATTGGTTTCTTCTCCTCCTCATCTTCATCATCGGCATCCTCTGCTTCAATTACTTCGCTCAGCATGGAATTTAAACCCATTCTAGAAGAAAATTTACAATAACAACAAGTATATTTCCATATTTGAGTAATTGGTCTCACTTTGACAATGAACCCAGATGTTCCTTTAATTCCGGATCGAATGCCCCCGCTCCATCATCATCCATCAGCTTGCCCTCCGAGTCAATATTACCAAATAGAATTCATCATCACTGTCGGTATCCATGCCTGCTGATTTCTGTTGAGTGGCTTAAGTTTTCAATGAGTTGAACTTGATTTTTTATTGCTCAATTGTTTCACCGCTGTTTTCTGATAATTTATTTAATTAATTTTAATAATAATATATTTATTTTTCTATTTTATTAGCGGCAAAACTAAAGCGTTTGACAATTTCACGAAAAAAAAAACACACAATAACAAAACCGCTGTAAGTGGCCAGGGTTCTCTAGATCGAAAATGGAACAGGGTTGTACAAATCGATTGTGGTGGCTTGGCGATACTTTAAATTATGAAAGATTTTTTAGTCAGCATTTTTAGTGTTGTAAAACGTGCGTTAATCTATTTTATCATAAATATATACCGTAAGCTTAGTTACATACACTGGTGACCAAACTAAAGCAACTGAAATTGCAAACTGATTAAAATAATTGTAACATTTTTGAAAATAAAGATATAGGGCTATACCGAAACGTAGAGGTAAATTGATAATTTTCGTTCGGTAAATATGAAATGAAAAGCCAATATATACATTTTCAGTCTATTCGATTGAAAATGTTCCCACAATACTGAATAATAGCTGGTACTTAGGCTTTATACCCAATGGGAATGCAATATTACAGCATATTTGCATAAAAATTGTTCCCAAACTATCCATTATACTGAAATTTAAGATGTACCATTAGGGACTATACCAAAAAGTGTGCTGATATTGGCACCCAAAGTGCGGAAGATTTGGCACCCAACTTATGGTCAATTCAACTGAAAAATGTGCCAATATACTACTGTATAATTTGTTATTGTATTCTAGTTGGTAATATTCTCAATGAGAATCTAAAATATATGATTACAACCTATTTGGTTGACAAATGTTCCCTCAACTCTCTGAAGCTTAGGCTACGTTTAGACTACTAAATCCGCTCGATCCCAAATGTCAATTCCATTGCGTATACGTCTCGTTAATCCTGTTGGATTAAAAAATGGATTTTAAAAATATAAACGTACCTTTATCTTTGATAATTGGTAACAACATTTTCTACCGAATGAGAGCATAAAAATGCCAAATTGGTTAAAAAACGTGTGGATAATACCGTATATTGGTGGTACCCCGTAATATGGACGCTTTTAAAGCTCCAGCTTAAATATTGCGAGCTCTATCGTGATTTCAACAAACAGATAGACATGGTCAATTCTCAAGATGATTTAAATTTGTATGATAAATAGTGGTACCAAATTAGAACATTCTAGCTCTAAACGTTCCGTACCCTTATAGTACGAATTTTCACAGACCTATCCCTTTCCAACACTGACCAGTATACAAAACTTCAAGATTCTTTAGAGCGCGTTTAGAATAATAACTTATTATACTTTGCTTAGCAGGCTTGTGACGGACCATTTGTTCCATAAGCCGGGCATAAAAAAGATCTACAGACGCGTCGGTCATGCAAGCAGCTCTTCCAATTTGAAAGACCATGTTTGAAAATCTCCTCTTCCACTTGATCATTACATCTAATTCAGTGTTGAACAGAACTAAATTAAGAGAAGGTGTGTGAGAGCGCAACTGAGAGATCATCATCAAAAATGATCGACGAAAAGAGAGAAAACGTGTTTAGCCATCACCGCTATCGTACTATTTTGTGCATTAGTGATCTAATTCGTGGCCTTCCCTTTCTGAGTCAGCTATAGGCTTGCTTTTATATGTCTTTTGAGATGGGGCTTCTTCATCCATTCTCACAAGATGGCCTAACCAACGTAGTCGCTGCAGCTCGATCCCTCTGACTATGTCGATGTCTGAGAATTGATTGTATAGCTCATGGTTCATTCGACGGCGCTATTCACCGTCGACGCAGATCGGCCCATAGATCTTCCGGAGAATTTTTCTCTCAAACACTCCGAGGACTGCCTCATCGGCTTGCGCAAGTATCCACGCTTCAGACCCATAAATTAGCACGTGTAGTATCAGAGCCTTGTAGAGTGTGAGTTTGGCCTGGCAGGAGGTGGCCTTGTTTCTAAAGTGCTTACTTGGACCATAGTATCATCTGTTGGCCAGCAGTATCCTTCTCCGAATTTCAAAACTGATGCCATAAGTTTTATTTATGAAGGGACCAAGGTATATAAAATCTTTGACTACCTCGAAGCTGTTGTTCTCAAGTTCCTCAGTTGGTCCGATTCAACTGGACGTCTTGCGTGTTGATACCATAAGTTTGGTCTTTCGCCATTTACTGTCAGTCCAACTTGACAGACTCCATTTCAATTCGTTTTGATTGAAGGGCTCTTAAAGGTCAATTCCGACCTTAACTGCTGACCTTGTGCCATTTAAAGTTATCCTGCATAGCCGTATTAATTTTGCAGGAATGTTTCAGTCCACCTAATAGTGGGGGAGATAAAACGGCATTTACATTAGAACTTTTTAGCGGGTTATCCTAATTTATGAGGATTTTTTATAAAATGGAAAATCCGTTCCAATGTAAACGTACCATAAAGACATAACAGGACAACATATTTCATATGTGTTTTATTTACATTAACACATTTGAAAGTACGGAATTGATAACCCTGCATTGTTGGATACTGACAATCTCTAAATTAATATAAAAATGCAATTCTTGTTCGGAATTTGTAATTTTTGTCAAACATGTTTATAAAACAGCTGATTAGTACTAATGTTTTCAGTCAATTTAATAATCAAATGGATAGTATTGTAACCTTGACGAAATGCATACTGGGATTCAATTATCTTATTTCCACCGTTCTGAAGGATTTGTTTTTTTTTTTTTTAATAATGTACTCCACTATCTTAGAAAGCGCTGGTAAAATCAGACGGAGATAATCGAAATAACGAACAGAATGACATTTTTGAATGGAAACCACACGAGCCGTGTTCCAACCTACTAGAAATTCCGAAGTTGTTAAGATGTAGTTTACTAGATCCATGATCACGTCAGATATGTAGGGGAAAACTAGTTTGAGAAATTTTATTGATATGCCATCAACACCCATTGACTTTGATTTTACTTTCAGCATGGCTTCAATAAACTAATTTTCATCAACACATTGGAATAAAAAGGATGTATTGGAGTCGATAAAATTTTCAAAATCGATTTGGGAAAATCCTTTAACACCAAGAGTCTACAAAGAAATCGTTTATGCAGTTAACATCAATATTTATCTCATCATGATCGTTATCCATACACCCAGAACTTAGATATTTCCACATCCTAGCAGAATCCATGCCGTTAAAAACCGTGCAGTAATGGTGTCTTCATTCTCGCGCGAATTATGGATTTTGCTTTATTTCTGAATTTGCAGTAAATTTTCCAATGATTATGAGATTCCAATTATCTTGAGATTTATTTCTTAGGAAAGTAGATCCATTAATCCATTAACACCAAGAGTCTACAAAGAAATCATTTATGCAGTTAACATTAATATTTATCTCATCATGATCGTTACCCATACACCCAGAACCTCTTAGATATTTCCACATCATCGTAGAATCCATGCCGTTAAAAACCCTGCAGTAATGGTGTCTCCTTTCTCGGCGAATTATAGATTTTGTCTTATTTCTGAATTTGCAGTAAATTTTCCAATGATTATGAGATTCCAATTATCTTGAGATTTATTTCTTAGGAAAGTAGAGAAAGCGAACCTCTTAGACATTTCCACATCCTCGCAGAATCCATGTCTGTGTCTCCTTTCTCGGCGAATTATGCATTTTGCTTTATTTCTGAATTTGCAGTAAATTTTCCAATGATTATGAGATTTATTTCTTAGGAAAGTATAGAAAGCGAAATTCCTAATGGAAATGGCATATCTTACTCCTCTAGATTTCATCCAAAAGTCTCAATCGTATTTTATTTATTTCCTAATAATAGGAACAAAAGCAAGAAAATGCAAGAAATAAAAAAATAATGATTTTTAAAATTAAGGATGGAGGTCACCGTTAGGCGGAATATCCCTTTCAAAAGGAGTGTATTTCATCGAAATTTACGAGACATTATTTAAATTCCGGCGAATATTTCGAAAAAATTAAATGGCAAGTTATTTTTTTTTTTTTTTTTTTGCAAAAAAAGACAACTTTTGTTATTATTAATTTATTTCTTATATACTAATACACGGATAATATTAAGTACAATAATTACATCGTATTTCATATACAAAATCGGCAATTTATTAATTACTACAACAACAATAAAAAGAAATTCAACACATGACAATAACTCGATTCAAGTGCAAAAGTCGACCAATAAAAAAGGTGATGTTTAAATTTTATTCAATTTTGTTGTTGATAGTGGGTGTTAAATTTGGTTTCGACAATAATAAAAATAATAATTCTAAAAATGAGAATTCGTTTTTGAATTAATACGTTAACGAATATGAATATTGTGTTGGTAGTAGGATGGAGGAAAATTACACAGACGCACACACAATTTTGACATTTCTCAAAAAGGCAACACTTGTTCACATACTCCGCACCGGTAGAGGGCAAATCATTAAGCCACACTTGAAATGCATGTGACACCATCGTATTGTGTCTGTCTATTCGTCCGTCCGACATTTGGAGCACTCGACTAACGACATTTACCACTTCGAGTCGTACGTTGTTATTTACATTTTATTTAGTTTCGAGAGTTTGAGAGTGTGTTAATGTTGTTTGTTCTCCAATCAATCCGGCAAACCTACACTAACCCGTTTGGTGGCGGTGCTGCGAATATTACGACGCGGTGCTGGTTTCTCAGATGTGGGCGACAGCGTCGCATCGTCATTCTCAGCTATAATTGCACCATCATGAAAACATAAACTACTGCGCAAATGTTTGCGAGGTTTGTTTACCTCAGCCGATGATGATGGTGGTGGTGGCGATGGCGATTTTGCTGTTTCAGGTGATGCACTTGGTGTGCGGCGTGGTTCCGGAGAGGGCGATGCAGTATATCTCCTTGAATACATTTCGTTATTTAATTTATTGACATTTCGTTTAACATTTTCTTTGTGACTGGTTTGTCTTTGTCCTTCATATCTGTCCTCATATGGCTGGCTGTGGGTATCATCATGTTCATCGTAATGATCGTATGACCTATTTTCCGAACGTTGTTGTAAATTTCCTCTTTTCGTTACATTTCTTGTAGGAGATATTTGATTACGTCTATAATTTTCGCTGGGACGTTGTTCGTCTTCATAATACTCATCGCGATAATATTGATGTCTTCGGGGTGGTGATGGTTCTATGCGAACTTTTCGCATTCTTTCGCCAGTTTCATCTGCTTCTTCGTTGAAATTATAGTTGTCCTCATTTCTGCGGTTTGGTTTCTTAGTATCATTTTGTATGCGTCTGTATTGAGGTTCCTCAACGTAGTCTTCCGCTTGATCATAGGTTCTATAACGTTGACGAGGTTCCTCCCTCTCCTCATAATTCCTTTCCTTGCTTAATACTGATCTGGTAGGTTTTTCATAATAATCACGATCATTTTCATAGCGATCTTCAGATTTTTCCACATTTCTAACCGGTTGCTTGTCATAACGTGAATTTTTCCTTTCATTTGATCTAATATTCGATCTGTCATAACTATCATCCCTGCGTTCGCGATATTGGAGATTAGAGTTCCCCTTGGCTACATTAACTTCCTTAATTGGCCTTGAAGGTCTTTCCAGCGTTTTGTTATAACGATTATTTATTTTCGGTATCTCCTTTTCCTCGCTGAGACTTCGTACATCGCGTTTTATTTGCAGTTTTGGACTATTCTTCGAATTCAATTCCATTTCACGTTTATCGTTCATATCCATTTTGGGTTTTCGATAATTATTCTGTTGACGCTTGGCCCCTTCCTCGTCTTGTTCATTGATATAGTCGTAGAACTGTATTTTCGACATATAAGCCTGTTTTCGTTTGGCAGTGGTGTAGGCTTCATCCACAATAGTTTCCGGCAGTTCTAATTTAGTGGCAGTTGGTTTTTCTGTTAGTTCCATTTTTTTGCCCACACCTGATCTCAGTAGAGGTCTTCTATTGCCCATCGAATCATTTTCATTTAAATTATCATAAAACTGGATTGATGACTGTGAAAACTCCTTGCTAAATCTCCGCTTGGTATCCACTTCATTTGCCCCGCCCACGGAAAATTGTTTGGTAACCTGGGGTTTATCATTGGCCTGCAATTGTACACTGTTCCGACGTTTCAGACGATGTTCAACAGCAGATTCTGCCTTGGTATCATCAGGCCAAAATAAATGAGATTCCAGACGATTTGGTGTGGCCCCGCTACCTCCACGTTCTATCATTTTGGGCGGTAGACCCGTAAAAAATTTTCCGTTTAACATTTTCCCGTTCTGTCCGTGTTCACCTTTATGATTTTAAACGCGTCCTAACCGTTCGTTGTCTTAAACTGTACTAAATTGAAATGACCGTTTCCATTCTCACATTCAGATTCATTGATCGATCCGTCGTGAGTTGTTTTGTTTCAAAGAAAAAATGTCGCTGTTTCGTTTTGTTTTTTTGTGCTGCCACTGTAGGCGTTTGAGCCATGTTAACGTATAAAACTTTTTGGTAGACAACCTTAACTGACATAATCAAGGCACAGTGGTTTCGATTGGCCTTTTTTGAGGTTCCTGCAATATAATGGGGTATTTAGAAATTTTACATTTTCAGAGAAATAATTTAGATGTTTTTTGAATTTTATAGAAGTACCCTTTTTATATATTTTTCGTATGACAATAAATAGACCAGGTGTTCTCTGAAGAACTGGTTATTTCCCGAAACAGAATACTAATTTATGATATTCAAATCAGCGTATATTTACATATGGTTCATTAATTGGTTTGGCACAGAAATCGCTTCATTATAGGTCTGTTTGTTTTAGTTTACAGCTAAAACTTACTCACCTACCTACTAAAAAGTCTAAATATATCAATTGATGTGTGAGAATACCGTTGAGAGAAACTGGCGCCCGACCATGGTATATTCTGTAAGGTAGCCGCATAGGCTAATTTCTACAACTAAAGGGCTAAACAGAAGGTTCGCGTTGATCGTTTTTTGTTATCGCGTTAACGCACGCAAAAAGTTAAAATATATTTAACTCCGAAGCGCAGCGCACAACAACTTCGAGCGTTTGTGTTATCGTTTCCTTGTGGTTGTTGTATTTTCGATAACACATAACGCAACGGATGGCTCAACACGAGCATTCTGCTTAACCCTTAACATCGGTTGTTGTATTTTGATATGTGAAAAATATGTTGCCAAAACAAATAGATTCATAACATTTGTAGAAAATGTTAATAAAAGTATTGCCAAACAAGCTCTTCAAAATTCTGAGATTTTCATTTATAATTTTGGGCCGATGCGGCTACCTAATTATATATCATGGCGCCCGACAATACACTCAAACATAATTTAGAGCGTGTTTACAAACGTCACATTAATCCTGTTCACAAGTCAAGTGGATTATATTTGAACTATAAGTCATACATGACAAAGCCCAGGCTTATCTTGGTACCTCTTCCATCTCAAATGTGGACACTGACCGCCCACGGTGTCATCTGGGATAGCTATTTTCATCATCCGTTGAAATAGTGAGCTGATATGTGCCGCGAGTTCACCCATAAGAACTATAAAAAATGGGTTGAGGAGTCGGGTTATTTGCCACACTCGGAAAACCCCCCCTGCTATAAAAAAGCAACGAATAATAAAACCAAACCCCCCAATGTTGACGACCTCGCAAACGTATAAAGGACTACGATTTGCGATTCTACACTTGGGATGTACGCACGTTGTACAGTACATGCGCATTTTTAGCTTTGGCGATATTATTGCCTTACATGAAATAGGATGGGAAGGGACTAGTGTAAGTAAATCAGATGATAACGCCCTGTATTATAGCTGCCATGAAACGAGACATGAATTTGGCTGCCGTTTTATGATTAATAGGAGAATGAAAGACCTCGTCTCCAGATTCACTCCAATTGATGAGCGAATTGCTATAATCCGTATAAAAGCGAAGTTCTTCTACATCAGTCTTATTTGCGCAAATCGATATGTCGGAACAAAGTCCAGGAATGTTAACATCAAGTAAAACACCAAACCGAAGGCTTTGGTGCATGCACCTCCTCCTGTAGAGATGAATACGGAATACGGAAGCATTTTGTAAAGCTCCTGGTATCAAAAAGTGGCGGTAAAGAAGATACCCCAGTAACAGTAATTAACACTAGAAAGACGGGAATTTTGTATATACCTATATTGCCTAAAATCGGTCAAAATGACTTCATTCTGAAAAATTTTTTATTGTGTAAAGAAATTTTTTTAAACTATTTTTTTAATATTTGTTACATTATTTACAGTCATACAAAACGTTGTTATTATTTGTTTTCGGTGGTAGGGCTCTCGGGTTTCCCCTTTTGAAAAATAAGAGCGCGGACAAAACGTTCGAAAAAAGATGAAGACTTTACTCTAAGAGTGAAATCGACTGGAAATATAAAATTAATTTTTCCCGATTTGTGTGTTCGTATGTGTTTCTAGAGTAGCAAACGGGTTTCGATGTTGTTGTACCGATCTGGTCATATAAGAAATTTACTTTATACTGTAATAAAAGTAGTTTGATTATTTAATATTTCAAAAAGGTCAAAATGACCGCTTTTAGGCTATTTAGGTATAGCACATGTGAATACGGGGAATGAAAGAGGGGAGGAAGCAGCTACTATGATTAATAAACGTAGTTCTATGTGGTAGAAAAAGTCACCAAATTTTAAAAAGCTGAGTCATAATATACACAATTGTTTTTGTACTTGAAATTTAAAAACCGTCAAAATGACTGCTCTCGGCAATCTAGTGTTAATCGGCTGAAGAATAACAAAGCATCTGGTGCCGTTGGCTTATCAGCCGAACTATTCAAGACCGGTGGTTAGATTCTGGTCAGGAGCACGCACCAGCTGATTAGTACAACTTGGCTAGATGAATGCATGCCCAATAATTGAAACCAAAGCATCCTATTTCCCATGCGCAAAAAAGGAGACAAGAAGATATGTGCCAACTATAGAGGAATAAGTCCTCTTCCCATCGTATATAAAGTGGTATGTGAACGACTTAAGCCAATGGCAATATTGTCTTTGCAAAATCCACCATTGACCAGATTTTCACACTACGCCCGCGACATATTACACCTATTTGTCGACTACAAAGTCACATTCGACAGCCCAATCCCCTCAGATGTATTTAAATCCAGTACGGCTATGCAGGATAACTTTAACTGGCACAATGTCAGCAGTTAAGTCGGAAAGGACTTCTCGGATCCCTTCTATACCGAACGATGATTCAGACAAGGTGCCAGTTTGTCGTGAGACCTGTTTAACATCCTGCTGGAAAAGGTCATAGGAGATGCATATGTGAACGCCGATTTCGATTTTCTTCATAAATATTTATTTTATTATTATGAAGTCCAACTTAACGAAAAATTACACATTCCTGAACTTAATTTTATCTGTTACCAAAAATTCATATAAAAAATAAAATTTTGAAAATGAAAATGTGAAAATCGATTTTGATCAGGTTTGACAAGATCGAAAAGTCGATTTTTTAGTCAAAAGCAAAAGCCGAAAGGTCTAAAAATCGACTTTTGGTTGGTGGCAAAAATCGAAAAGTCGACTTTTACGCTCAACTACGTAGCCCTATTCCATATCGCGTGTGTTTCCTCAGAGCGATTGACATTGCTGATTTACTAGTTAAAAGTTCTAATTTTTGTAGTTATAAAGTATTTTATATACTTTAAAGCATCGTCAGTCATAACGGTGGAGCTCGGAGCGCACAATTTTTGAATAGGATTCCGTATAGAAACGTTTTTTGTCACAATAGATAGACTCTAAGAGTAACTCTTCAGAATCAGCACCAATTACTATTGGTTGGAGACATTACAAGCACCAATATCTATTGGTTGAAGCCATTACAACTCGTTGGTGAGGTACATTTTCAATACTCAAGCATTGTTTGTTGACCACCTGTATTGAGATTCTCTATTGCATATTCGGCATTGGGAATATCATCGATAGTGGATTCATTCGTTACTTGCGTTTATTGTCAATTGCTTCCCGGCCTTCATGATTGGCCACAAAAGGAAGGACCTGTGAAGTATTAAATCCTTCAACACAAATTTCGTCAATTGTAATCCCATGTTTGATATAAATCTCTGAATTGATCAAATATCTGCCTGCATCAATTACCTTCGCTGGTCTGATTGTTTCAGACATGTAATTATGCTGATACTCTATACTATATACACATATTAAAACTTTTTCTACTGTATGCTATTGAAGACTTTGGTCCATGAAACACCATGTAATGATAACTCATCAGATTTAATTCAGATGCATTAGAGATCACAGTAATAGCTTTAAAATCAATTTTTAGAGCTTTATGGAAAATTGTGAAAATAAAAAAGCGGCATTTTTGACTGAAGCACAACAACATCAAGACAACTGGACTTAAATATATAATTTATTCTTATACTTTTTCATTTTTTTTCAGATTTTGTACTTTGTGTGTTTTTGGCGACCAAATGCCAACAACAAGTTTCTAAATATGGTTAGTAGGTTGTTGTTACTTTTGTCATTGGAATGAAGTAATGAATGAATAAATGAAAGATTGAATGTGGAGCTATAGCTTGATTTCTGGTTACCCAAAAGATTGTGCTCCGCAAAAGTTGTTCTCAATGGTTAGTCGCATGTAATAACGCTGACGTCAAAGAAACGCTTAACCGACAACGCGATTGAACCGTTGTTTGTTTTTTTTTTCTAAGTGCACAACTTAAGTGACGACAAGTTGACAAGATGTAGATAAAAATGATTTGGAAAAAATTGTAGTTTTTTTCCTAAGCAATTGAGTTAGATTTTAGATATTATAATTTTGTACTACATACTTATGACAAAATTATATGATTGTTGTTTTTGTGTCGTTTTTAATTACCTTAAATGATCATAAGGCCCGCCAACAAACAGGGTCTATGGCCGAATTGTATTTTTGTTTTGTTTTTTAATAAAATTTATTGTCGTTTTGTATTCTAATTTCCATATAAGAGATTTTTTATCTATTGGGAAATAACCAATTTGTTATTTCTTTAGGGAAACAATCAATTTTGGCATCGCAGAAATAAAACTATCTATGAAATTAAAAAAAAATAGTATAGAAAGAACTAATGGATTATATTTGGCAATAACCATTAATTTAGTTTAGATAAAATCTATTGTATCACGCCCAAAACTGTAAAAGTCTTGGAATAGATAAATATATATACTTATTTAGCGAGCTAATGACAGAACGGTTGTTCTGCGTGAACCAT